CAGCGAGACTGTCATTTATTTCTTCACCGCCTTTACAATTTAAGTCGAGAAAATTTTCGCCCAGTATTATTAACGATTTTCTCTGAAAGATAGTGTTGCTAGATACTTCAATTGTATTCGTCTTTCTTTGTTAGCCGGCGACTGTGGTTACAGAACCCAACATTGTGACAGTACAACATCTGATTAAAACTGAAAGTAATACAGTACGACTCTGTTGAGCTCATTAGCAAGCTATACTGCATTGAACGAGCAGAGACGATGAATGAGCTAAAACCATTTTCATGTACATTTGAATGTACGGAACCTTAGCATTCAATGGACGATTGATGACTGTTTCTTTTTAAATAAAATCAATACGGTGTCGCTTGGTAACAAAAGGGCATTTATTGGTACGTAAACGGTTGCTTCCAGTGTTAGAAAAGTTCGCGAAAAGCGTCGCCGCAAGCAAATATCGTCCATCCATCAGCACGATAACGAGTCCGCACATTTCGCCACGGTGATGAATGCGTATATGAAGGCCCAAAATGTGGAACTGATGACGCAGCTGTCATACAGCCCGGTCCATGGAGCAAACTAAAAGGCGGGAAATAAACGGGAGTATCAGGTTATTTAAGTTTTATCGATTCATTCAAATCAAAATATATTTATTCCCATAGACGTATTGGGTTATAGTTTATATTGTGTTCCCTATAGTGACGAGGAGATGAGATAATTACTACGCTACTATTATATATTATTTAATATTAAATCTACAAGATATTCACATGACAGTGTGCGTTCGCTAGCTACTTGCGATGAACTGAACTGTGCTGCACAATGTAAGGCGCATGGGGCGTTCGACTAATATATCAAATTACATTGATGACTAATATATTAAAATTTTACATAAAAATTAATACGTTCATAAGTTACCACCGGTTCGGCGAGCAGTTTCTGTTGAGAAGAAACCGGCAAGAAACTCAACAGTTGCTCTTTTTAAAACGATTAGTTTACAATAAAATAGGAATTAGGAAACTTCAGCATTGCTCGTACTAAGCTCGTATCGTGTTTAGCCCTCGTATCCACCGGCAACTTTTGTAAGCGCACAAGTATAGCACACTGGTGTACGAACATGTTCACTGAGCGGAGTTTCTGCCTTCAGTTGTTAATATGGACTCGCAGTAAAACGTAGTGTTTTGTGCTGCAGCCTGTGTTTTTTTTTATGTAGTCAACAAAGAATTAACTGCGATGTTGGGTAAGGCCCTTCTTACAACAACGCAATATGATTTTATGGTTTCTCGCCTACACGCAGGAAAGGTTTCGTTCAATTATCTACAAAAGTTAAGATTTAAAATATATTATTCATTACATAAATGTCCCGTAGTAACATTACACACATTATTGTTGCAAAGAAATACTAAATCAAATCTCGAATTGCAAATACAAAAATTACATAAAAAGCTTAAATATAAAAGCTTAAGTATATATCAAAAAGGAGAAAAAGAACAGAATAAGGAGCCAAAAGAGTTCTTAGAGGACTAGTTGGACTTGAGTAGTAAGACTTAGGAGTAAAAGTCCACTAGAGTTGGCGCCAAATTCCGTGGTAGACACAACACACAAGCGCAGTTTATTATACAAACTGCTTCCCAACACTGTTTGAAATTTGTAGTAAGTGATGCATATATGTAGACATTCATATAAAAGCTTTTCTTACAAACAACGAACGATATTAGAATTTATATCGAAGCATTATTAGCACGAGCCACCTTGAACTTTAGGATTTTTGATACATTATAAATATCCCTTATAAATTGTACAAAAAGAATAGGAGCATTTAATATTCTATTTATTTCTGAATGTAAGCTCGCTTACCTTTACTTTGAAATGCACCAAATCCAAAAAAGCACCAAACTGTAAATATAAGATTATTTTTTATAAATTCACTTTGGATTCGCATAACTATAAGTTGACAAAATATCGCATGTAAATAAACATATTCTTTGAAACAATGACTCTTGGTTGGTTATACAAGATACAAATTATTTTTAATTATATTACTTTTATTTCGTTTGACCAACGCATAATGATACATAATATAAAGTTTCAAAAAATATGAACGTAGTTAACCTAAGGAAAGATTTGTAAACTAGGAGTAGGAATTACGTAATATATTTTAATTAATAAAAACAAGACAGACTTCAAATATCTTTAAATATATTTATTTATTACACAATATGGATTTGAAGGATTTTCTTAATCAGTGATACCAAGATCCAATACTAATAACATTATGGGACCACATGGGACCTAAAGGCATTGCGTCAGCCAATGCAAAAAAACATTAAAATCACAGATAAAGAAGTCATGTGATAACAATAAAAAAATACAACCAAATTGAGAACTTCCTCCTTTTTTGAAGTCGGTTAAAAAGCTATAACGATATCATAGCCATTGAGTGGATAATACCGGTAGCTAAATCGAATGCCGAATAATAAAATAATGCCGGCACCATTGTCACCTCGGCTGCCGTGCTCCATAAATTCATGTTACTTTACAATGTCAGATGCAAGGACACATCGCTGCTCGATTTAGAATTTATGAGTAACCCTCATAAATATGTATAGTACATTGTCTATTAGAAATACTTCAGCTGAATATTTATTGATATATTTTTTACATTAATTCGTTTTTTGACTCATTGTATAAAGATGAGAACAACACGTCAGGAAACTATTCGAAATGAAATAGAAAATGTATATATTTTTGAAGTAGTTTTGTTAACAGTAAAAATTATAAGCCAGCCAGCAGGCTATCTTTCACGGCTCCGGCGATGTATTTTTATTTTTTAGAGTTTTTTTGTGTCGGGTCACTTACAATCTAATTATACGATACTGTTAAACTTTTGCAACCTTCAATGAATGTGCCCTCCATTCTGGCAAAAAGCTAGTAAAATTTGTACTCGTATATGTGCCAATTGGTGTGTACCAAATGTGTACTTGAAGATGGTATAGAGGTTTTATCAAGGTATTTCATCTCATTGACCTGAACGTAAGTATTAATTTCTAATATGTTCTAACACTAACTGTGGTGAATGACCGTTCGTTTTGATACTTTATTTCGACTCTAGGTTAAATTGCGTTCGACTGGTGATTATTTTTCCTTCTGTACGGACAATGTATGGACATTGCTAATATAATAGATGGTGCACTTAAATAAATGTCCTCTATTTTGAGGGATGGCTAGGGGGCGAGCGCTTCCTACACACATATATCACCCCCTTTACATGCGTTAATCATTCTTGTTTGAGTGCAAAAACTTGTCGCGTCTACCGATTATGTCCTGTGTTGTGTCGCTGAGTATTTAATTATACATGTCGTAGTAACTTTCTAGACTATTTATATAATGATAGTCTTAGTAGTCGTTTTTTTACCATTTTTTATACTTGTAAATTGTTAGATTTTTGAAATCTCGTGCGGAACACGGTAAGTTTGGTAACATATTGATAATCAAATTTTAGCTCGTCTTCAGCCTATTTACTCGGACTTTTATCTCCGATCTATTGCTACTTACTGTTTTTCTGTCTGTCTCAATGCTAGGAACACGTGGAATATTTGTGTAGGGTCTGTCAAGGTAACTAACGGTAACGTGTTTTTCGATTTTATCTATAGTTTATTATAAATTTTTATTAATGGTTAGAGAAAACCGTCTTTAAGAAAAAATGTATTATATACCTTAAAAATCAGGGCTTAAGCTTCGTAACATTAGTCTCTTAGTTGTCAAAGCTTAAAGAAATAAAATTTAATATGTACGACTGACACAAAAATACTTCCCAACTCATTTCGGAATCTCAAACATTTGTAGGGTAGAAAGGAAGGTCCACTTCGATGTGGAAAAAAGCAATTGATTTTCATTGATCCCGAAAAAAATTGGCAGCAGAATCGTAATTATTCACTCACATTAGCTTTCTTGACAATTGCCGAGAGATTTCGTTTCCAACGATTACAAAAGCGTAAATTGAGCAGACGGAACATGTTAATCAACTTTTGTCTATGCGATCTACATATTTCACTATGGTAGAGCCATGCAACAGCCTTCGCTGTCGCACGAATGGGCAGGTCCGTCCGGAGAAGTACCAGGACCTCATGGAAGACGGGTGTGAAGTGGACATTTTATACTTCTGCGTTTCGTATGGTGAGTAAACGGAGCCCACTTTATTTAAAGGTGGCAACGCATCTGGGTTAACACTTAACATCAGGTGAATCACCAGCTCGCTTGCAACATCATCACTGTAAATAAAGAGAAAAATATTTTAAAGCCACAACTTTAAATAATGGTAATGAGTTTAACTACTCGTGATAAGTAAGTCACCCGTACACAGCTCACATATACGCGAACCGCACATGAATTATTATAAACATGTAGTATGAATCATATTTCACTGTACAACCGATTTTACACCCCGGCCTCGTCAACATAGGCCGAAATAATATTAATTTATCATTATACCAATGGTAATTTGTCATTGTTAAATGCACGCTGTTGAAAGCATAACTGGAGAGATTCCCGCCAAAAAAAAAGGAACGTGGTTTCGCCGAAAAAAAATGGTATGGAACATACATACAGACAAAACTTCCCGGTCTCTCAGAAATGAGTGAGCTTTGCGTTTCGTCCTTTGGACATGTGCAAGTATTGTCATCAGAGACGGCGATAATCACTTAAAAGCAGCACCCATCTGCTTGCTTGCCACTTTGTCACATAAAATAATGTAATTTTTTTTACAAATTAAAAATTTCACATGCACAAAACTACAACTTAACATTGCCGTTACACCGTTGAAATTAGTTTATTTAGATTTTTTATCTGTATAATTAAAAAGGAATGAATGTAGAGACGACAAAGAATAAGAATAAATAAGACGTACGTCCAACATTTAAAGGATTAGTGTTCGAGATGCGCTCAGCTCGCACTTCAATAGTAGTTGTGTTTCATTACATTACAAGTAACGCGTGTAGCACCCGTGTATGCAAACGTGCTTCGGAACCGCACCAAAGCATCAAGACTGGTTCGACGAGCGGAAAACAGCACACAACGAGACACGCTATTACGCGAGGCGAATCGCTAGTCGAAATTGGGGAAAACTGGGACCCATAACCGGGCCGCTATCAATTTTTACGCAAACCCACGCCGCCGCCGGCGTAACAAGGCGGACGATGTTATTCGACGAAACTTTCGAGGCGGGCGGATTATTTGGACGTTATTTATCGCCTTACGCCGGAGACGCGCCACCTGCCGTGTCCCTGCCAATTACTTAGCGCTTTATCCTAAGGTTGTGCTGAGACGGCAGGCGAATGAATATAATTCGAATAAATTAGGTTAACGACCACGCGGTGACTGCGAGAGTTCGACGATTGCGTTTGCATACTAAAGTAACGTGTATTTGGGCAAGCTAGCCTAGAAGTTAAGTAATTAAAATTATTTCGATTTATTAAAATTGATTTATCATGTCAATATCTAGAGTGTAATGGGAAAACACGTTACAAAACCGTTGCATTAATGCGAAGGATAATATATTCTATTAATCATTTATTCTTAGAATATTTCATTCATTGGAACAAAATGGAACAGTACATTATAAGTCCGTCGTAAGTTTGAAGTTGGAAGTTCGAGGAACACAAAAAAACACTTTTCCAACGTTTAAAAATCCTGTGTATTACAACGGGTTCCTTGGGCAGACTAAAGAATAATAATATTAAATTCATAAAAAGCAGTTATATCATATAGACGCAAATTTCTCCGATTCAATTTCAAAGTATTTTATTAGGAAGAGTTAAAAGTTATAACTTATAAGGTTAAAACTTCTTGATATATACTTTGTTGACATTCAACATAAATATGATAAAAAGGAATCGCCCACATCGCAAATTAAAAGGTTCCATTACAATTGCAGTATTGTCCTGATTCTACTATTTTCTACAATCAAATGGCAAGGCCAGTACCGCTTCAAGGGCACGCAGGTAGCCAACACACGAAGTTAAACAACCACGTCACTGGCGTTGTCTTGTACACACGACTTAAATCCGACAACTTATAAATTAAAAAAATATATATAGTGGACCAAATTGTGAATCTAAACAATTTTCGAATCAACACGAAGACACATAAAAAATTATATATAGCTCATTCGCGGAAAACATAAGCATTTTTGCAACCGTTGGGACTGCTGAAGTTTAAAAAGGTACTAAACCTAGGATTGAAAGCGAAAACAACATCCAACATAGATAGTAATAATAATAATGAGTCATCAGTATTTATAAAATTGCATTTAAAGAGCGTAAACAAGGTATTAAAATAAAAATAATTACTTTAAAAACTTTTAAGTTAAACGGTTTTTTTTTGTTAATATTGTATTGTCATCTAAATTAATTGTGTGTACCACATATCAGATCAATCTGACAACGGCAAGGTGCTTAAATTTCAATTTCTAATTTTGACCCAAATAAACAAACAAATTCCGTACGGGTCGAGCTAAATAAAACCGTTTAATAAAAACACATCACATATAAAAGCGCTGGATAAGTCAGTCTCTACAAATATTTATTATTTATAAGTTAAATAAAATTGACTATCCATTTAAGCGGCTATTTCAGGTGTTGCAGATAAGCGAGATAGAGGCGACTGTAACTTAGAACAAGTATCACCAGTTATTCAAAATAAATATTGTTAGACAAAATTTCTACATAACGTCAACTAAGTGAAACTTCTACTGTAGGTAATAGGTGTGTGACAAACATTATAGGTACACAGGTAGGCTTTTCTAAGTGTATCCATTTTTTTAATTAAATTCTAGACATAAATAATGTTATAAAAATTATAAATATTTAAAATCACTCGTAATTAATTAATTACATTCATTTGAACTTATCTCAAAAAGTGCGTGATTTATGGGCAACTCATTTATTTTACTCGCGATCATTCATAACTAACACGCACTGAATGACTATCGCATTGTCAACAAGTTCTGTTATAAATGAAACTAATTTTTACGAATTTTACGGGACAATCTGTCCCGTGACCATGAACACTAAACGTCGGGAATTAAAATTAAAAATAAACGCGATAAATCCGTAAAAATTAGTTTCATTTATAATGTGTAATACAAGATAACAAGTTCTCGTCGGATCAAGGGATCGAACCCACAGTTTCTATCTTCTACGCCAATTAGGTTTTTAATAAAAAAATACCGAAACATTTAATCGTATGTCACAAACGCGTGTATTTAAGAGGTCAACATGCACGATAAACTATTTTGAGAGGATGCGAACAATAACAAAATATTGACTACTGGAGATTTACGAGAGGAAAGAACGAAATAATTGTTTGCCGATTATCGTTCTAAGAGGAATTCTGACCTTATCGTATTCTTCCTCCGTTTGTGGAATTAATTCAACAGCCGCTCCACTTTAAGTAACGCTTGTCGGTAGCAGCGCGTCTATTAATCTTGCGGATGTTTCCTTAAACAATTTATTACGAGTACCAAGGGTAAGCGGACCACCGTCCTAACTAATTGAGGACCAAATATCGAGTCAACGTAACGAAACGTTGCAAATAGCATTAATTGCGATACGACAACTCAATTTCGTCACCGTATTTCTTAATTGCCCTAAATTTATTTCAATTATCATCTCCAACTTATTCTCGACATATGAAGACATTTTTGTTTATTACAAACTCGTCATCATCGTCCTCCTGCCCTTATTGCTCACTATTCACCATATTCTCAAAATATTTAACTTACATAGTTCTCTAAACACGAAAAATTTACAGAAAAATTTAAACAATATTATTGCGAGTGTTTTGCGAACTCATATCGCTTAAAAGCTATCTGGAAAAATCAAATGAATACTTTGCTTTATCACAGACATGGCACGGTTCCCACTGAGCGGGTACATCAAGACACTAGTTATTAGTCAACGAACAATTACAGGGAACGCTATGAAGTGCGGTTTGCAATATCAGACCAACGGTCTACGTAAACCCATGAACTCTACACTGCATGTAATAGCATTCTGCAACCATTCGTGGCGCAGCTGACGAAGGAAGAACGAGCGTATGAGTTTTACAATAAGGTGGTGCCTCAGCGTATACGTCACATGTTACAAAGCCTTGCGTTCAGAAAATTATCGGTAAAGAACGCACATTTTGCGGTTTGTTAGACAATTTAAAGTAAGCGCTTATTTGTGTGTGGAACTTTATACCGAACACTAATCACATGTGAAGTAATGAATGTTCAGTATGTAGTTCATAATATTTTGCATTGTTTAGATGTAAATAAATATTATAAAATGAGATCTGTAGGTATTTCTTTGTTCATAGCGGGCTTCTTTAATTTTGGCCACCTTCTATATTACGTCGGCTGAACAAGTTTCGTTCGAAAACAGATCGAGTTTAAAGCGTTGCGATCAATAACTCGAAATCCAACAAAATTAGCAATTATCCAGATCGTCGCATCGGAATGAACGCAATCCTTTATATTGAATGGAAATAGGGCTGCGCGTAACACCCTGCTACGGGAGTCGATTGTTAAATTTAGTTAAAAAGCAATTCCGAGTTTCTTTAACGGTAACAATTTATAAAGTATTTTGAAATTTGGGAACGGAAATTATCAATGAAAGTTCATACTTACTCTCTTAACCCTAAGGAGTTAAAGTATACATAATAAAATTAAAATACGCCGGTATAAACAATCGATGCGCTCTGGTTTGGTAGCGATTATGAAACATTAAATTATAAGTTTACCAGGAAATCAATATACAAAAATGTACTCTTAATTTTTTTAATAAAAATTCATTTGTGTATACTAGATAATGAGTAAATGACGCTTACCTTCTGGAACATGGTTTGCAGCCGCACTCATACACTATAATCAGAGCATAAATATTAGTCAAAGGGTGAGAGTGTTCATTTTCTTTTCATTTGATTTGAATATCCTCTGCTTCACCCATCCCGTGAAGAAAGACACCCAAAAACTTTTACGGGGTCTTGTTATTAAATATTTTGAATGTTTTATATTAAGTCGAGAATGGCCATATCGATACACAGATTTAAGATACAAAAAAGTGTCAGTGATCTTTATATAAATACGCAAATAAGGAATTCATTTCAGATGGCATTTGAGAGTTAGGAACGTTGCACAATGCATAGCATACCCATAGATTTAGTTTCGTATGCAGTGATTTAAGGTATACGAAAACCATGAACAGATTTTTCTCTAGACTTAAAAATTTGAACCATAGACATGCGGATGAATGCGCCGCAAACGAGGCGAAATAAATTGTATTGACGAAAGGCATCGTGCCATTTCAAAAGCTATATATAGCACGATAATAATTTACGGGGTGCTATTCAAAAACCACCGGGGAGGGAGTGTTAAAAAGTTTTACGGTCGTCTTAAATATAAACAGAATCGCGAGTGCCGTTCGAGAGCCTTTAAAAGCAATAGCGAACGGCCGATGCGGTAAAATAGCGTCGCCCGAAAACGATAAAAACTACACGACGCCTTCGAAACGATGACCTTTTCAAATTTTAACGTCTTTATTACATAGAGTGTGGCTCCAGAGGAGATGTTGTCTCATAAACCGCAGTGCGATTGTAGTCATAGCTCAGACAGTGCTAACGCCACATTCAGCTAAATAATTAAAGGCGTCGCTCCTTCTCAAAGAAATAAATGTTTTAATGTCGAATATCGAAAGGCTCCATACACTCGGGGGAATTAATCACATTACCTTTAGATAGACCTGTGACCCAATTGCGAAAAGGTCGCACAAGATAGTCTAAAACAGAAAAATACTATGTTTTATAGTATTGTTGTGTTTTAGACCTTATCTCTACTACTTTTTGGACTATATTCGAAGAAAACGAAGCGCGATGGCCGGCAACGTATTTGGATGCCTTCGGTGTTGCAGATGTTCAAGGGTGGCGGTGATCACTTGATCAGGTGAGCCTCCAGCTCGTTTGCTCCTTTTTCCATAAAAAAAGAGACTCAAAACATAACTGCCAGAGCAAATATACGTAAATGATTTTTCGGTTCAAAGATATAGCCAAATACATTTTGTACACCTGATGTTAAGTGATAACCACCGCCCATGGACATTTGCAACACCTGTAGGCTTGAGGCTGCGTCGCCACCTTTTAATAAAGTGGGCCCGGCTACCTAACTCACCAGGCGAAACGCGGAAATATGACACTTCACATTCTGTGAGTTACATATTTGGATACAGCATCAAAGCAAATACCATCTTCTATCTATAAA